CCCCAAAACCCCAAAACCCCAAAACCCCAAAACCCCAAAACCCCAAATATTAATAATTACGTTGAAATATTTGCAACATGGTGGTCGTTCTATTTATGTAGTAGTTTATTTCTACACTTTCTTGTTTCATTGAGCTTTAGTCTCAGAAAAATTCATACTTAGTGTTTGTTTTATCAGAAATGATGGAAATGAGATGATTCGGACTCTTAGGGTGTTAGAATCGATATCTGTTAAGTTTGCATTCATACCGACCAAAATTCATGAATTTTTGATACTTTAAATACTTACACTTGTTTCCTTTTAATTATGTAACGCCATATTTTGGACCAAAGTTCATATATTTAAAGTATGATACTAGGCTAGAATAGTGCGATACTTTTTGAGTTCTTCATGAACAAAAATTTAGCTAATTTCTTCTTCAATAGGCATCCATGCTAAGCTAGTGACTTTGGAATAAAATTTTCCAAAAGTCTATTAATGGAAGTATTAAATTTAGAACTTAAGACTTTAAAATTTCAGCAAACAAGAATTGATGCTAGAGTTGAAACTATGTAAGAATCAAATCATTAAATAGAAGCTGTTAAGGCTCTTCCATTCTTTGCTCAAGTGTTTTCCAATGTGAAATGGTAAATTACCTAGTTCCCTTTTTGTCTAAATAATTATATTTAACTATGATTTAACACCAAATATTATATATGAAGCAGCTGTGGGGTTCTAAAAGAGCTATTCAACTAAATTACTTAGAAACAAACAACTGAGGTAAACTTTTCCAAGCTCATGTTGGTTTACGCTAATTATTTTTCTGAGAAAAGGATTCTAATTAATTTATTCACTTTCAGAGTACTTAGTAAATAACTAAGAAATGAGCGCTAACTGAGAGAGCTTTCTGAAGTCTTTTTATAAATATTGGACTTGCAAGAAAGGGAATCTGCTTAGCCTATATGGCGAATCCTTTGTACACATTTTGGCGATTAATATGAAATTTTAAGAAATGGAATTGTACAGTTAAACCTCAAAATCTAGTTTTGAATAATATATAGCTTTTATTAAGTATTCTGGAGAGAGATGGATTACTCACAAAATTATTAGAATATTAATTAATTAAGTCTTTGAGGATTTCTTTGGAGGAGAGCTTGCTCATTGCGCTCATATCTGCATATTTTATTTTTTTAACTCCTCCACCTTTATTCCAACTTTTATTTTTTGAAAGCTGGGTTTTTAGAGGTTTAGTCATCCCACATTCATTATTTTTATTCAAAAAGTACCCAAATGTTGAATTTCTTTTTGATAAATTATTTGCTTTCATTCCAAGATTAGTCTCGTCATCGCTGATTTTCCTAGGCTTTTTGGTGACATTTATTCCAACTCTGACAGTTGCAGAACTTCATGAGAACTCCTTAGCACCCATATTAGCTTCAATTTTCTCTGATTTGATAGGTAAATTAGTGATGTTTCAAGGTTCGTCATCAATGAGGTCGCATTGGGATGAACTCCAAATACTCTCTGATTTGATTACTGATTTATTTAATTCCATTATAAAAATACTCTCAATTTTTGCTTATATGCAGGGGTTTTGGGGTTTTGGGGTTTTGGGGTTTTGGGG